GGGGGCGCTACTGTAATTCGTATCCCCGCCGGCCGGCTGATAGGCAAAAGAAAATCAACTAGTTTAGTTCTGCTCTGAGTAGGCTCATAATAGGGAATACTCTAACCCTGGAACCGGCACTTGGCCATCCTTCGTTTGCGGTTGACGTTCCGGCAAAGTTTTTCCATCGACAGTTGGAAGACTGAAGTGTCTACTTTCGTTAATTTCATCCATCAAAAAGATGCTTTAATAGCTATGAAGGTGGTTTTAAATATGCAAGGTCTAAATGATCCTATTTACACCGTACATGATAATTTTATTAGTAATGTCTATTTTTGCCAACTCTTACCGCGAATATATCAGACTGTATTTACAAGCCTGGGTCCACTCCTGAGATTCATTAATAATTTTTTGTCCAAGTGCAAATCCAATCTCATCACCGCGACATATCTTCATATTCACAACGGTAGTGAATTTTGCGTAAGATCCAATGGAAGGATAAGTATACAATATAAGCAAATCCTCAATATTTTTATATTGATAGGGATCCCAATTCATTCCATCATTCCCGTCACTACGGATTGATTGTCTCTACCTAACTACATGGTAGTGGTCTAGAGAGCGCAATTGCTAGAGCACGGGAGAATGAAGAGTAATGATTTCAGCAAGAGCAGCCGGACGAACTAGTATAGTGAGTCTAGTGACTACTAGTCAAGGAAGGGGGGAAGATTGCTCAACTTCAAAAGGAGGATTTGGAGGCTATGTCTAGCAAGTGGGTTACATCAATGGTAATGCGATTTGGGCGAGCCGCCCCTCTTTTTGGGCGAGCCGTCCCTCTAATTGGGAAACTCGCGCCTCTAACTGGGCGACCCGTGTGACACCTTATCTGAACACGTTATAAGCGTCTCTAGCCCTCTAGAGGGGATTGATTACCACGTTCTTGGGGTTTGGGGTGGCACCACCATAATCACTTTTTTGTTTCTATGACGAGCTTCCAGTTCTTCTGGATTGCTAATGTGGTTTGATGACGCCGATGGAAGGAACCACTGGAGATTCATCCAACTTCGATCCCCTAAAGGCAAGTACGTAGTCTAAAGAATCCCAAATATAATAGAATAATCAAAAGAGCTCCTTCGGCTCTAAACAGCTACTGACCTAATTGGGAGCTTTTCAGCCAAGGTCGTCGGAGCGCCGAATCAATCAACAAGCAACCAAATTGATCTATCTTTAAGGCTTCAGGCAGGCTGCGAAGGCGCTGATACGAGAATAGAGGTTAAAGAGCGGCCAGAGTGACTAGGAACGTCTCTCTCTGATAGATCAAGTAGCCATTACGAGAGAAGCAGAGGGATCCGAGGTACTCCTCCTGGGAAGTACTACTTCTTTGTAAGAATCGCTAGATCCAGTTGCAGTGCGACTAACTCACTTCATCATCTTGATACCTTACTTAACCACGGTACAAGATTATATGCTTTTGGAACCAAAATAAGTCTAAGTTTGTAAAAAAAAATTTCTCTCTTAGTAAACCTAAATGACATGTTACGTGAACAACTGAACTTTTTTTTTTCCTTTAATTATCTTTTTTAAATTATCAAAATAAAATATATACATATAAAAAAAAAAAAAAAAAAAAAAACTCAGACCACCCCACTTCCAGCTCCTCTTCCCCCCACCCCATTTCCAGCCACCCCCTCGGCCAACCCACCTCCTCCCTTTCCTCCTTTCCCACCCAAAATCGCTGCCTAGAACCCTAAACCACCTTAAACGGGTAGAACTGAAACCCTCAAACTCGTTCTGATGGTTTTGGGGTGGATATTTTGGGCTAGAGGCGACATTTTTGGGTAGAGGAACGGGGATGGGGTCGAATTGAGGTGGGGGAAGGGGAAGGGGAGGGGGGCCATTTTCGGTTGGGGGAAAGGGGGAGGGTTGGTGTCGAGGGGTAGCGGGAATGGTGAAAAGGGAGGGCTAAGCTGCCGTGGGTGGGGGGGTGGGGTCGCCGATGCCAGGGGACTAGGTTGGGCGTTGGCCGCCGGCAGGGGGGGTGGCTGATAGTGGTGTTTTTTTCCTTTCAAAATTATCAAAAAATTTAATAATTAAATTAATTAAATTTTTTTAATTATCAGAATTTAAAAAGAAAAGGAAAATTTGTCAGAAAAACCTTTTAAATGCCTCATTTTGCAAGAAAAAACGTTTTAAAAGGATATTTGTTAAAAAAAACTACCACGATTTTTTTGTTAGATGAAACCTACTCTCCTTTTTCCGACATTGACTTAGCTTTTCTAGCGTTGACCCCTTATTTTCTCTACTTGCAGCCAAGTCTAGGGTAATTTTCCCTCCTTTTTTTGGCTCCCCAAATTTCCCTCTATTTTTTAGGGTATATATACTACATTGAAAGGTGAATTAGAGCAAAACTACCCAACTCATTCAATTGAAAGGTAAATTATTAGGGTTTCAATTCTCTTTCTTCCACCATTCTATTGGTCAATTCTCTTTCTTCTACCAATGTAGTGGTCAATTACCTTTCTTCATCTCCCTAACAATTCCTTATTTTTGTCCAATTGTGTAGAATCAATGGTGATTTGTGGATGTGTTAAAAAAAAACCCATTTTTGATACTATTTACAACAATAATTTCATGAATTTACACTTACCTCAGAAAATTGTTGCTCAATTAATGTTGTGAGGGGGAGAGAGAGAGCCCAAATGATGTGATTGAAGTGCAAAGCATTCATGGAAGTAGAGGAGATAGAGGAGGGAAAATAAAAGGAAGGAGTGAAAATGTAAACTTAGGTGTAAGTAGAGAAAATAAGGGGTCAACACCAGAAAAGCTAAGTCAATGTCGGAAAAGGGAGGGGAGGTTTAACAAAAAAAGTGACCGTTGTGGTTTTTTTTTAACAAAGATCCTTTTAAATAGTTGTTTCTAGCAAAATTAGGCATTTAAAAGGTTATTCTAACAAATTTTCCAAAAAAATGAACTAATGTAGACATCTAAAAATGTCTCCCCAAAACCAAACCCGATGATGAACAACCTTTCACCGCTATAATTGGTCGGGTCAAGTATTTAATCTCGGGAGTGCTTAAAATCCATATTTTGTCAAACATATTCAGTCCACAAATCAGTCCAAGCATTTATTCAAACTCAGTCCAACTCACATTTCAGCCCAAACCCTTTTTAATTCATTTCGTTATATATATTAATTAAGCCCGTTTAATAAATATTAGAACCCTAAACCTGAAATAAGTCCGGAACAGCTGAAACGACGTCTAAGTAACACGTGTTTAATGTTAAACAGAAAGATAAAAATGAATTTGGACGGAGTTCTGGAAAATAGAATTGCTGTGTCATGGTAGAAATGTCGCGCCACGGCAATCTCTGCCGTGTCAAGGCAATTTCTGCCGTGACGCGGCAATTTTCTAGGGTTTCTCCGTGGCACATTTCATTTCTAGGGTTTCGTGCATCACCCTGCTCATTTCCTCTATAAATACGAGGCTCATTTCTCAGTTTCGGGGCACCAAAAATCATTCTCTCTTTCTCTCTTATGCTCTAGCCTAAACACTAGCCTTCCCTATTATTTCACAATACATTTCTTAAGCACTCTCCGGAGTCTATACTTTACCCAGAGCTCTACGCTTAAACCAAGGCGTGAAAGGTAGAACTGTTTGAGGGTTTGGCCCCAAATTAACTCTACTTTAATTTAATTTAGTTTCTATTGTTGTTTATTATTTTCCTTGAAGTTACTAACCCGTTTTATTGTTTTATAGTTGCAAGCAAACGCAATCAAAGTAAGGAATCATATTCCTTTTGTTCCTATTATATTTCTAACAATTTTTATTGTGTTTGTCACTTATTAATCGTTGTTATTATGGTTAAATTGCTTCTAATGTTGATGTTTATTATATTGTTTATTGTTGATCACCATATTGCATGTTAAAGGGAATATGTAATTGAACATAACGCCTAATAAGATAATTTGGACGACCGGTTTAGGTTCCCTTTTTTAATCCTATTGTTTAATCAAGTGATCACGATGTTTAGAATTATTTGTTGCATTAATATTCAACCAATTTAGCTTAATAATAGTTTGGACCAAATTGAATATTTATTTGTGTGCCTTTGAGATCGCAGGAATACTTTTCACAATAAGAATCGAGTAGAGGCCAATACGGGCGAATGTGACTCCATGACTCACTTCGTACCATCATCCCCAATCCTCCTTTCGTGGTTCCGAACCATATGGAGTTAGTAATTTCATGGATTATGAATAAGGTGTAACCTTCACGGGTCAATCGTTGTTGCCTATCGTTGTTCCTTTTCGTGGTTACCTTTTAATGATCCGTGAACGGTTTAGAAGTTCCTTAAAAATTAGTTGGCAGCTCCCTACTTTCCTTGTCCCTAATTGTATAGTGTCAATTCCCACTTCCTAAGAGTGCCAAACATATTCACAACATGCTTACGTAGGCGCGCTTAGAATGACGCTTACAACCAATGAAGACATGACATGTGGATTGTAACTTGGTATAACAGGTCGAGTGACTTGCTAGGGTTGCTATGGGAGAAAAATTACAAATTTAAATTTATTTTGGACAAATTTATAGGTTGGATTATTTTGGGAGAATGGAGGCAGAAATTCTTGCGTGGACTTGGTCCCTGAGATTTATATACACGCAAAACTAACGTTATTTGGAACATAGTGACCGTAATTTTAAAATAGTATCCTTATTTTTTAACATAGTAACCTTTATTAAAACTTGTGTGACCTTTAATGTTATTTCTGTTTACATCCCAAAAAATTATCCTCTTATAGCTTTTATAATGTCACAATCGCTTTTATTTCAACATAATAACCTTTAGTTTTATGTAGTGACTTTTTTTTATTTTTTTATTAATAAATCAATCATAGTACCTCTAATGTTAGCGGTCCACAATAAATTTGTGTGAACTAGGTCTAATTTGTAGAACGGAGGAAAGATTGGATTATTGAAATTGCCATTCGATAAACGTACTCCGGAGAAGATAAACTTAGAATTTGTACAAGTATAAGTAAGCCCATCAAAAGCTGTCTCCACTCCCCACTTTTCCTCCAACCTCCTCATCGCCGCTACCCTCCTTCGTCCTTTCCCTGAGGGCGAACCCTAAATCTCTCTCTTTCTCTCTCTTCCACCACCTCCAATGGCGGCAACGTCCACCTCCTCCGAACCCACCTCCGCCGCCGAAGGCCCTGTCCTCAGCGTCATGACCAAACGTCTCCGCGCTCTCCGTAAGAAGCTCAACCGCATCTCTCAAATGGAGGACTCCGTTGCTCAAGGCAAAACCCTTAACAAAGAACAACAAGACGTTCTTCGCTCTAAACCCGCCGTTGTCGCTGTCATCGACGAGCTCGATAAGCTTCGCGCTCCTCTTACCACTGCCGTTGAGGAAGAACACTCGCTCGGTATCGCCGCCTCCAAAACGACGCCGTCTTCCTCGCCGGAGGAACACCAGTCGCCGGAGGTAGTTGGGCCGGAGGTAGAGGATCATCGTTCGTCGGAGAATAACGACGACAACAAAGAAGGTGTTGTTAAGGATCTGTTGTATTTGATGTATTTTGGGAGTTTGTTTGATGTGAAGCCTCAGGGTGACTTCACTTCATTGATGTTGACGCGCACTCATGAGCGTGGTTGCTGCTTGACCTACGATTATGTTACTGATGATGCTACTGATCTCCTTGTTGAGCGCGATTTGGATTTGATTTCGGCGCTGCAGGGTTTGATGGTTTCACGGCCGGCGAATTCGGCTTTGTCGCATCAAAATGCGTTGGATATGTGCGTTCAGCATGCTCAACTCTGGTTAAACAATTCCGATCAGACTATTGATCCTCAATCCAATATTACATGTAATTTTTTGCATAATTCTCATTCGTTTTGTTTTGATTGGGTTGTTTGATTGATTGTTTTATGGAATTGATGGTTGGAGTGTTGTTTTGGTTTGTTTAGATGCTGGGTTGAAGGAGAAATTGAACAAGATTATGGCTTCGGACTACTTCACTGCCACTCCGCAGATGAAGGGGCCTGGGGAAGTGGCGGCTGCCGCCGCTGTTGGAAATTTCGGTTCTTTCCAGGTTCCGATGCACGAGAATATGGTGCCTGTTAAAGTACCCGTCCACATTGAGGGATCCGCTGAGCAATATCAGGATACGGTAAATTACTAAATTATTGACTAGTTTGATTCTTTTGTTGCACCAAATCATCAAGTTTAATTATTTTTTTGTGATGTGCATAAGGTGTTGACGTCATTGCAAAATATGAGAAATTAACTTATTGATTTATGGTAATAGTAATCAAAAGATTTTGGATTCTCCTTCATATTTCAAAAAAAGGGTTTTATTTTAGGGTTTATGAGAAATCTCTGTATACAATTTAGTATTAGATGATCAAGCTGCGGGTGGGCAAGAATGGGTTATTGTCATATTCATGTCATCAGCTATATGGAAATGTTAAAATTATGGAAATGTTAAAATTATGGAATATAAGTAATGAGGATAGATTAGATTAAAATAAGTGAAGCATATATTGAATTTCTCTCATTTGGGAACACAGATAGCCTTGTTTGCAACTATATATATATATAGAGTATTATATTTTTTTTTGTACCATGCAATTAATTTTTTAGAATATTGTTGCAAATCATAAAGATATGCCTTTGCAAACTTCTTGTGTAACTCTATGACGATTGTTAGATATGTTATCTTGTTGATTGATATATGCCTTTGCAAATGTTTTGTATAACCCTATGTAGATTGTTAGTAATGTTAGATATGTTATCTTGTTGATTGATATATGCCTTTGCAAATGTTTTGTGTAACCCTATGTAGATTGTTAGTAATGTTAGATATGTTATCTTGTTGATTGATAGTTCAAACCTTGCTTGTATCGTTGTATGTGTATGACACTATGATGTGCTTTGGGATCCCTTAATCAATTTATTCCCTAAATTTTGGTGCTTGTTTGCTGCCGCTTAGTAATTTTAAAATCTTATGTAATGTCGTGATCATTTGGTGCATCTCATCTTATGCTTTATAATTTAAATGCAACAACTATGTAAACTGCACAACTTGATATATTAATTGATTTGTGTTCATATTAGGAGAAAGATTGAGGCCTGATTTTTCGGTAAAGAGTGGGTAATTGTGTTTTACTTGTGAAGTGGCGTTTTATGCCCTGGTTTTCTTGTTGTATAGGTCTATAGGGGTTTTTGGCATGTCTCAATTTCTTAGCCAATGTTCCACTTGGTGTATACATGAACGATATAGATAACATCAATAACAGGAGAGGTTGCTAGCTATTGCTTTGTCGCTCTTTACAGTATATATATATAGTTCGAATGAAGAATTAGTGTTAAATATGCGAAGTATTACATTTAGATTATTTTTCCTTTCAATTTTTAATATATTTGGATTTTAGTTTTATACTTTTATGCCACTAAGGGCACTAAGTCGTATATAATTTTCTTTTAGTAGTGATAAACAATGGCACCAACTAATACAATGATGCTGGATAAGTACTTTTGATGATGCCTATACTATCTAAAATATGGCCTTGGCAAACAAATGGGGACATTGTTGTTTGTTTACTGGCTTGGGTCCTTGCGACTTGTAAGTTTGGGATGTTTTGATATTTGGGGAATGCAATTTATATAAAATTCTGAGCAAAGAGTGTGCATCCAACCTAAAAGGGTTGCATTTGATGATAGGTTCCTGGTTTCTCTGTTACATTCTTAAAACGAAATTACTTCATACCAAAAATATTGCAAATAATAAGAAAGTAGGTAAAAAGCTGGCAGGGGACCACGAAACATGTGAATTACATATAAAACCCAAGTATGAAAGGAACGAACCCTATTGCACTACTTTAAACATTACCATCTTCAATTTTTTATAATTAAAATTTTTAAATTGATTTGAAAGCATAAATTGAGGCATATTAATGAACTTCACACATGACTGTTGTTTCTTATCTAAAAGTCATAGTAGATGGGTGAATGGAAGGGAATGAATAGTGTAGAAACTCCATTGTTGTAATATTTTTGGAATGGAGGAAGTATTTTTCTTTTGATAATCTTGTCTAAATCTGCCCTACACCTCAAAGTCTGGCCATTTCTTGTATTCAACTATTTTTTGTTCCTACTGTACAACCTTAGAGGAAATTGACTGTTTCTCTTGATTACTCTATCTTTAACCTCATCTGAATAAGTTTGATGACCTTCCAATTTTAATATTATCGACATATTTCATCCTTCTAAAGATTCAAACTGACAACCGTAATATAAACTCAATGTGACCTACATCATTGGATGTGATTAGTGACTAATTAAGATTTTCATATACTCCCTCCGTTCTTTTTTGTTCTAGTCACTCTCTGTTTTAGGCCGTTCTTTAATGTTCGACCCACTTTACTTTATTCTATTTATGGCATTACCCTTTTTACCATCTAACCTGACCCACAACAATTATAATTATACCTTTACATACTCTCTCTCTCTCTCTTTATTCACCTTTTCCGTACACAAACCACCTTTTTACATTCTTTTTCCTATTTGATTTACACCCACCCATATTGTTCAATAATTTCTTAAATTGCGTATCTATAGTAAGTGAGTAGAACATAAATGAAGAATTGAGGTAGTAGTTGGTTTTGGTTATGTGTCTTTTAGTGTATTAATAGTTGTGTTAAGTAGAATAGGTCGTGGTTTGAGTGTGTGTCATGTGTTTATTGGTCAATTTATTGATATATCTCCTTTTTATAAGATCTCTAGTTTGCCATTGATATCATTTATTTTTTTATTTTGAATATTATTAAAGTTGATCTTAAATAAGTCCTACGCTCCCTACCTTTTTCATTTTACTACCAAAAGTATCTTAAGATAACAGCTTCAGTTTAGTTCAGATAAATAGAATTCAGGAAAGAATGAAAATTTAGTGGGTTAAGATTTTGTGACTTTCTGTGTTGTCACCATTGGGAAATCCTATAACGTGCTAGCAACTAAGGTGCTCTTTTCCTTGTCGTAGAATACTTAATATCTCTAAGTTTTGTTCAAATAACTTCTATATGGTCACCAAGTCTGAATGTAAACCTCACATCAGAAGTATGCCACATCCCTTGTCTTTTTTTGCTAGTTGGCATCAGGCGAATGTAATATCTTACAATTAGGTAGTCATTACCATTTGAAGATGACTTTTGCTGATAGGTTTCCATGTAGTACTGTAGTTGTACTGGACCTACTGGTAACTGTGGGAGAGCAGAAATAGTGCTGTGACAGGAAGTGTTGGCTTTGATCAGGAAAACTGAGCATCATTGTTGATTTTGTACTTGGTAGATGTCTTTGGGTTTAGGCCATACCTTGAGGGATTAGGCATAAAAGGCTTCTTAAGGGCTGCTTTTTTAGTCGTGAGGAGCATGTGTCTTTCAAGTTTGGCTAACAGAATTAATTGTGAAATGCTGTTTCGTCTGCTATACCATTTAATTTTTGTTTGCGTTTAGGGGGGTGGGGGTGGGGAGGGTGTTTAAAAAGGTTGGCATGTTGGGGGTAAAAATGATGTGGTTTTTGTTCCTGTTTAATGGTGCTATTGGATTTCGTTGGTGTGCTTGAGCTGATGTAGGATTTAAAATTTCTTTTTTTTGTCTCTCCCCCCCCCCCCCCTTTATTCCAAAAATAAATAAATAAATAAACCACTGACATTGGCAGCCCTTTTTTTTTGGGGAGAAAGATGAAGCTATATCAGTAATCCTAATATATTTTTTAATCACTACTCTCTTAAACATTGAATCCCCAATATCAGTGCTCTCACTCAGAAAATTTAAATGTACTGGTATACAACCACTCTCCCCAAAAACAATATAACACCAAATTAAATTAACTTCCCCACAACTACCACTTCTATCGCCAGTATAGTCTTTCTTAGTAAATTGGGATATATTTTGTGCAGTGGCATACTACACACACTTGTTACGATGTTTACAATGTTAGTCTAGGAGCTTTACTGACTTTGATTATTGGACAATTACAGGAGGAGAATTTGGCTAATTATGAAGATTATGGAACAAGGGAACATCAAGTTGGCAGTGCTGAGGAGTTTCAGAAGGTCTGTTATTGGCTTGACAGCACTAATTTGTTCTGTTTAATTGTTTATCAGTGAATTTAATATTTAGTGCTTTTGTTTCTTAGGATGACTTGGAGGCAGGAAATGCTCCTGAAACGAACTCAGCCCAACGGCCCCAAACAGAACAAGGACAATTACAGGCTGAGGAAGAGCATGGCTACAGAAATGTGGACTTCAGGGAGCAGCAGTACATTCCAAGAAGAGGTATGAGAGGAGGCCGTGGAGGTGTAGGTGGTCGTAGAGGTTACGCTAATGGCCGAGGTGGCAGGAGTAGTGGCAGGGGAGGTGGGCCTTACCAGAATGGACGTGGTCAGTATTATGACAACTACAACCCTAGGAACTTCTACAATAAACGAGGTGGCAGGGGAGGAGGTGGTAATGGTGGGAACCCATACTACAACCATTCTGCAGATCAAGGCAATCATGCTGAAGCAAATATGGGGGTTGCATCATAACACGTGCAAAATAGGTTGTCTTTTGGTTATTGGCTCATTGTTGGTGGGTTCTGGTGATTTTGTTGTGCGCTGGGCATAGTAGCATTTGTAGGTCTATTTATGAATTCACCAATTAGTTGCCTCCTTTGGGCACTGCTCTTTTGTACTTAACCGAATGGATGGTTTTATCAAAACCCTCTAATATAACATGACCATGAGAAGTCATCATCGTTTGTCTAGCAAATTTCTTTGCTTGATTATTTCTTTGTTTGCTTGGGTGTTAATATGCTCTATGCGTTATGTTAAAAACTTACATCTTGCTTGCTGAATCAGACCACATATTCTAATTTACAGGTGCAGAGGTAAATATAGAGTTACCTGAGGGTGTGATGGTTGTTTGATTGGACCCAAGATGTTGCATAATCAAGGGTTTGCGACTTTGTGGGAGTTGCACTTCCTGGGAAGTGTACTTGTGTAGGTAGTTTTTGTTGAAGTAGTAGATGCTCACCTATGTAGTAGAAGCAACTTCTATGTTGCGCAATGTCTCTGTCTTTTTGTTCCACTGTCTTTTTTGCGTCTTTTTGTCAATAAACTTGCATGTTTTTAAGCTCTATTGACCGCATACTTCACTATTTGATTCTATATACATTCATGTCTATTGTCTTATGTACCTTGATCTGACCATAATACTTGGTATTCTTTATAAGCGAGATTATAATATGAATCATGTGGCACTATTAAAATTGAATTAGGATGCTAAAACTGAGCAGTATCTGTGCTTTGTGATAACAAAAGTGGATTCTAGTTAAACAGAGTGGGTTGGCCATCGTTTTTCAAAGATGCCTTCATCGTTTTCTTTCCTCGAGCATCATTTCGAGGAGTATGGTGTAAGCATATGTTTGTGACAATTCTTTTTGTTATTAATTTCGCGTTATTATCCTAGTGGCAACAATTGAAATTCTGTAGTTGTTTTGGCTACAAGACCCAGTTTCTGGACTAAAAGCTATATTCTTTCTAGTGATTAAATTCATTCGGAGACATGTAACATATATTCCAAAACCAAAAATTTTACCTCTCTTTCATCATAAACTATAATATATGTCAACTTCAGAAATGAAGGCATCTGATACCAGGTTGGAGAAGGGGAATCTACAATGATCATCAACTTATTATCTCTATAAATTCCTCCTTCAAGCTTATCATTCACCAAGAATTACAGATTTCCAAACTTAGCTTCCACCTGCATCCTGAAATGGGGATTCGCATTTCCCGTGGCATACCACCAGCAGTCGTCGAAATTCATTCTACTGACCAATGGAGTTCACATTTGGAATCCTCGAAGAATTCTGACAAACTGGTGAGTTCTGTTTGCTGTTAATTCTTGTTTCTATCAGCACCTGTATTATAAGTTCCAATTCTTGTTTCATTTTGGGAGCTGCAGATGGTGGTAGACTTCTCAGCTTCTTGGTGTGGACCATGCCAATACATGGAACCGATTGTCAAAGATCTCTCAACAAAGTACAGAGATGTTGAGGTTGTCAAAATCGATGTAGATGAGCTTTCGGTAAAGATAATCAGTCCTAAATTGATGCTCTTTGTTTCGAATCATTTTTTCTTCTGTAGTGCTCGAGAATTGAGTATATACATCCCCTTTGTTACAGGATGTTGCCAGTGAATTCGGGGTTGATGCGATGCCAACCTTCGTATTTTTTAAGAAGGGGAAAGAGGTTGACAGGCTTATTGGTGCTAATAAGGGTGAACTTAAGGAGAGAATCTCAAAACACCGAAATTAACAGAAAACTTATTTACAAATTTGTAAGAAATGTAATCATTGTGTACCTTATGAACTGGCTCACTGCATGAGTATTCTGCAGGAGAAGTTTTCTTTTTCGTTTCTTCGATTGACTTGTATATTCTTGGTTGATTCCGAATTGAAAATCAGTACCGAATGCTGATCGTACTTAAAGCTTGATGTTATTGAAGTATCATTGATTTGTCTAGTCCAGATATATCGTAGATCAAACTCTCCGTCTGACGGATGGTTTCTTTCGAGTCCGGTAAGAGAGTATCTTTTATGGGCGAATTATCTTAATGAAAGCCCTCTTTTTGGCTCTCGTTTGAGGGTTGTCATAACTTCTGTCTATCTGCTGTTAAATGACTTTCGTCAGTCCGAAGGGCAGTCTAAAAGATAAGGGATTCAAGCTTTAAATACTAATTCAATGGATAAGCATAATCAGCAATCATGTTTCATACTTTCATTTGGATGCTTAGACAAAATTGTAATATTTCCAAATATAGTAATACTCCCTCCGTTTTTATGCTCCATTTTTCCATGCGCGGGGTTTTAGAAAAAATTGGAGAAAGTAATAAAATATGGAGGTAATGGGGTATGTGGAAGAATAAACAATTAAAAAAGCAAAAGTAATTGAGAGAATTAGAAGAGAGAGTATAAAATTAATAAAATATGATTTATGTTGGGTTTACTACTTGAGAGAAATAAATTAAATATTGTAAAAGCTTTCCAAATAAGGAAATGAAACAAGTATTTAAAAACGGCCATAAAAGAAAGTGAAACAAGTATTTAAAAAAGAAGGGAGTAGTATTATTAGTATATAATGAGAATTCCTATTATGTCACTATTGTCTAAGCGATGGGTAGAATTATAGATATGGCCAACTGTTATAAAGGTTTGTCAATCAAATTTATCACGTGCCTGATTATCTTAAATTTGAGAGGGTAGCAACGGATTAGAATACTCCAAAGTACAATATTATCTAACATCCAAAGTAGCCATATAATATTATCTAACATCCTCAGTGGCTACAACTTTGATATTTTTGTACTATGGAGACATTTTAAAGGGAGGAAAATTATTTACTTATTAGTATATAACAGGGGCATAATGATAATTTAGTATAACAAAAAGGTGATGCGATCACATATTATTACTTTAATTTTTAGGTTTTAATTGTACCACTATAGTCATTTTAATACCATTACCCTCCAATAGCATAATTTCACAACCTAGTGGTACATATATTAGCTTCAAAAGTATACAATTGTAACAATCTTTAGTGTAATTTTAACTATTACAGTACTATTGTAATAACAATGATATATTTCATATCTCAGTGGTACTAATGTTAATTTTTAAAATATTTACGAATTGTTATGTTATGTACCAACAAATACGTAACATTTCTCCATTTCTACTTCCTCCAATATATCATTCTTTGTTCTGAACTTCTGAATACTACTTCAGATGATTTAATTAAAACATGCTAACTCTTACATACATGGAGTTTTGCTTTGGTTCTTGTTAAGTGTAATTGTGAGTGTTGTTTGTCCACATTGAAAAAAAAACATAGGCCTTTCAGTTTATTACCCAAGCGTCCGTAAAAAAAAAAAACATAGGCCTTTCATTTTATAACCTAAGCGGACTAAATCTCATATTGCCAATTGATTTAGAATGAAACATTGTTTGGGCTTTGACAATGGGCTTCTAGGCTTTTTTGCGCTGTTTCTCTCTCATTTGTTAATTGTTTAAACCTACACCCAAGTGCAGGTACTAACACCAACACCCCCTCCCCAATAACTACTATCAGGTTAAAAAAAATCCAGCTTATCTCTCTCCTCATATAAATGGTAAAAAAAAAAAAAAATATATTACTACTACATTTTCTCTCTCAAATTTTACCCACTTTCCTCATTTTTTCACTCTATTTTCTCTCTCCTAAACTACCAAAAATTTTCAAATTTCTCTTGAAAAAAATCAAAATTGTCTTGATCTCAACTAAAACATTGGATTTAAAGGATGAAATCACAAGATCGAAGGAAATTTCATCAAAAGAAAGATCGAAAATCAAATTGTTAGTTATTTTTGTTTATTTTTGGAAGAAAAAAAGTACAAATTCAAACCTAACTTTTTGCCTTATTCTTCAGTTATTCTCTTTAGATATATTAAACTTCGGTAATAGTTTTTGATTTCTCATAATTTTAGTTTTATCATAAAAGTGATTTCTTATAATATATTATAGTAGAATGATGTTTGATATACTTGTTGAATCGATTTGTGGTGTGTTATTAGATTACAAAAATGTTGGACATAAAAAATGAAAATAGAGTGTAACTGTCTTAGTTTTCTGGATAATTTGACATATTTCGTAGGATTATAGAAATGTAAATTTAGTTCGTAGTGAATTTTTTTTTTTAATTTGATGAATGTTCATTTACAATTTGATGAATGTTCATTTTTATTTTGACAAATGTTCATTTATATATTTGTATACGGTTATTTATATATTAATATACGGTCATTGAATTTTAATAAATGTATTTTTTTTTCATTTTCTTCATAAATTTCTATAGATCTAATAAGGGATTTCAATAAGCTATATAAGAGTTTTTGATTTCATATAGTTTATCATGGAAGTGATTCTTATAATAATATTTGAATTATGTTATAAGAACTTTGGTTGATTATAACATGAGTCAATTAAAATTGATGTGAATTTTGACAAGTAAATTTAGTCTATTATAAATGTTCATTTTAGATGAACTTTATGCTCATTTGTAAAGGATTAATATTCATATTTTAATAACTAAGTTATAAACAAATTATCAATTTGATTTATGGAATTGAATAATTGATTCTTAATTAAGATTATTTATTTTGTTAACAAAACTTGTCATCTGGCGAATTTTGGCTATGAAATTTAATCAATCGTAAATATTCTTTTTTATGGAACAATGATCATTTTAAATGAAATTAATGTTCATTTATGGTCATTTTCATTTGAATATATGTTCAATTAAATTTGATACATATTCATTCTATTAAAATTATATGTTCATTCTCATATTGAAAGATGTTCATTTTCAATCTAATATAATGTTCATTCTCATATCTAAACATATTCATTTAATTTAATACTTGTTCATTCAATTTTCACATTAAAAGATATCTGTTTGAATTTTAATACTTGTTTGTTATCATATTGAGAAAGCTCGGTTAAATATTAATATTTGTTCATGCATTCTCATGTTGAAAGATGTTCAGTTGACTTTTAATAGTTATTCATTTTCATGTTGAAAGATGTTAATTTGACTTTTAATAGTTGTTCATTTTCATGTTGAAAGAAGTTCATTTAGATTTTAATATTTGTTCATTCGTATATTGAACTATGTTCATTTCTAACAGTGTGTTCAAATTTGTATATATAAATGTTTATTTAATTATCCAGTTTTGTTTATAGCGTGTTTTAACTGTAAATTTGTAACTAACATTTTCTGTAAAAAAATTGATCTTTTACATGATAATGAAATTAAAAAAAAAAGGGGTAAAGACGATTTATATATTGAGAAAAAAATGTGTATCAAGGAAAGCATAAAAACATCTATCATAATAGTAGAAAGGGTACAAGTGTATAACTAGGAGGATGATTCTATATACCTTTTATTTATACGAAATTTATTACATGACGATGTTCATTTTGTAAGATACATGTATGATATGTACATTTTTTAAGTTTAAGATTTTCACTTTTATTTATTTATTATTATTTTTTTAATTAAGCATATGTACATTTGGAAAGATAAAAATATTCCTTGTATGCTTAAGAAACAATGAGCATATGTTAATTTAAAATGAAGTTATTATGTAATTGAATTACTTTTATTCTATATTGAAAGATATTTTTTCAAACAAAGTCTATTAACTTAGCTAAATAGTAAGACAAATTAATAAAAATTGTCTAAAAATAAATATAATAATTTGAATATAACAGGTCGTATTAACAAGATTGAACATTTAATGATACAAAATTAAACATTTACATATACAAAAATGAACATTTTGTATGTGATTCTAAATCGAATAATATAGAATGACGTCATTATAAAGGAAAGGGGGTGCAGGTAGTAATACCTACACAAGGGTGTAGGTAAAAATTTGTACCCATTTGTTATAACACTTTTGTAAAAGGTTTTGTGTATACGATATTAAGGAGCTGTTTGGTTGGATTTCTTGAAATGAATTTCATGATTTTATTTATTCCATGAACATAGAAGAGATAGTTCCACAATGGGTCGACGACAACCAATTTCAACTGTTATTTCCGATGAGGTTTTTAATTTATTTATTTTTTGGTAACTCTTTATTTTAATGATATATATTTATAATTCCTATCAACTGTGAATTTTTCGAGAGCTTTATAGTAGCTTGATATGTGTATTAAAGATTTTTATTGTTTATAACTTTATATAATTGATTGTAATATGGTAGCTTGATGATGTATCATTTGTTTCTCTGTATGATTGTATCCACTTCTTTTAGCATTAAAATTTGATAACATCATTGTTGGGTATTGTTTGATTAATAGTACCCCACGACTCTCTAGCAATTAGCACCTAAAGTAGCTAAAATTTTAGGATTTCAATTATATACCATTAGATTAAACACACTTTTTGTACTTTGCTTTAATAGCTTGAATAACTATATATTATATGTAATTTTTTGTACATAAATGACTCCCTTACAACCGACTCTCATAAGGAGAAGGAAGAAGAAGCAAATAGAGTTACTAATAACAATTATGGTTGTTATATATGTAGCTACCATTATATATTTTGTGTTGTTTATGATGAGCGTGCAGGTAATTCATAAAATTGAACGACCAAAATATTGTAAAAGTCAAAATGGCGTCTTAGGCTTAAGAAGTTGAATGCTTTAATCAAATATAGTGATGTCATTTGTAAGAGTGAACTTTGTGTGAATAGAAGAACTTTTGGTATAATTTGTGAAATGATCAGAGATATTGGAGAATTGAGTGCAAGTCGAAACATGTTAATACAAGAAATTGTTGCCATGTTTTTGTTCACATTGGCTAATCATACAAAAAATAGGACAGTGGGAATTTATCAATCTGTCATCCTCGCATTCTTCTGCTATACCTATATTATAAATCAACCAAAATTAAATCATGTCAAA